AAAAATTTTTACAACTGCCAAAGTGTAAAAAGGCATTGTTATTACCTGTCCATATCTTTTAAAAAGTAAATTTAAAATAAAAGGAAAAAATGGGTTCATTCATTCATTCATTCAATAAATATTTATTGAACTCCTACTATGAACCCAGCATTGTATCTGGTAAAGTTGGTAAATAACTTACACTGCTGCCTCTTAAAAAAGTACACACCACAATCAACGTCAACATATTCAACATATTGCTGAATGTACATTATATGCCTATAATTGTCCTAAAAACACTGGTTAAAAAAAAAAAAAAGACATACTGTCAACACAGGTAGCATCATGGATTGAATTGTGTCCCCCCCAAAATATGTGTCAATTTGGTTAGGCCATGATTCCCACTATTGTGCAGTTGTCCTCCATTTTGTGATTGATGTAATTTTCCTATGTGTTGTAAATTCTAATCTCTGCCTGTGGTTAATGAGGCCAGATTGGGTTATGTTGAAGAGGATTGGGGTGGGATGAAAAACCCTTTCTCAGATCACATCCCTGATTCAATATAAAGGGAGTTTCCCTGGGGTGTGGCTTGTACCACCTTTTGTCTTAAAAGAGATAAAAGAAAAGGGAAGTTAGCAGAGTTGGGGACACCATACCACCAAGAAAGCAGTGCCAGGAGCAGAGCGTGTCCTTTGGACTTGGGGTTCCTGGGTGGACAACCTCCTAGACAAGGGGAAGATTGATGACAAGGACCTTCCCCCAGAGCCAACAGAGAGAGAAAGCCTTTCCCTGGAGCTGACACCTTGAATTCGGACTTGTAGCCTACAAGACTGTGAGAGAATAAATTTCTCTTTGTTAAAGACATCTACTTCTGGTATTTCTGTTACAGCAGCATTAGATGACTAAAACAGGTAGCTACTTACTATGTTAGTTATTCACATCTCTCTGCTTTTTCTTTTTGTATTTTGGGCTACTTCATTTCTCATTAGCACCAGAGCAAAAAAATGAAGATGGCAGAGTTGATACTAGGAGACAACAAAACTAGGCTCTGTCACTGAGTAATCTGTTAGCTGCAAAGAGTAGAATAATTATGAAAAAAGCTATATTTCCAATGGATTTATTCATAATCCACACTCCATGAGCAAGCTAATAAAAAGTTAAGCTGATACTTTGATAATCTGTCACTTCCTATCAATAAGTACATAAGAAAAAGCATTCAAATGTAGCAAACTCTTGCTTCCTGATTTCTCTCATGACCAGTCACAATTTCAACAAGTCAGTGCAATATATTTACTATATAAACATTATCCTTTTAAGAAAGCTTGAGAAAATAACATTTTTGCTACTTTTACAAAGAAACATAAATCTCTTATGTTGCAGACCCTCTTTATATGTTTTCACTGAAATCAGTAGATAGATTTTGTTGTATATGTGACTTGCAACAGACCCAGATCCATGTCTTGCACACAGTAGTTGCTCAATAAAAGCTTTAAAATTTGATTAAAAGGCAGTGTTATGAAGAGTTGTACAGAAATTATTTTATCACAATCTAATCACTTTAAAACAGCCATTTATACTTGGTTATGACCTCCTCATACAAAAACAGAAAGCCCCAATTTAAATGTAAACTAATCTAATAGTTATGAAAAACATAACTAGCAGTCAATTTTAAATTGTTAGTTCATTTTTATAGTTAAATGATAACTTCCTGACACTTCATGATTTCTCAAAAAATTTTCCTAGAGTATGCAAGTTTACTCCCATGAAGGTGTTTAAAAGAAGAAGAAGAAGGGGGAAGAGTAAGTTTAATTTCCTCTACAAGGCAGGATGTGGCTTAAGAGTAGGCCTTAATGTTAGTGCATGTTAGAAACCATAGGTTTTTTAGAAAACCTATATGGACTATCACTAAAGTTTCAAAATGTGTGTAAAACCTGATAGTATTCGTGAAGGTATATGAAAAGCTGCAACCACCTGTTACAAACAACTCATAGCCACCCAAACCATGGGTCTGTCTCTCTCCATCTAGAAGTACAATTCTGCCAAGTTAGCCCTGTCATTATCTCATTACACATGTGCATGATCCCAAAGCCACCATTCAAGGAAAACCCTCAATCACTGCCCTCCACTGGACTGCCTATGCACAGCACATCACGGAGTCTCTGATCACCAGAGAACTAGGGGTTTATTTTTCAGAATCCTTCATTATGCTAGGTTTTTCTTGAAACCTCAAATACCACAAATAAACTAAGGCAATTGAAAATAGACATTTCGCTGCCCTTATACTTCTTTGCATTCCACTTTAATAATCAGATTTTGCACTTGGTTTACTATTGCAAATAATGTGTTCATTCCTTTCCCTCTATTAAACTATAAGCTACTCAAGGGCAAACACTGATACTCTATAGGAACGTGTTTCTTTCATTCATTCATTCTTTCTTTCTTTCACTTCTCATTGTCATATACTTGCATATATTTAACTGCTGACTCATTTTTCCTCATAAACTTACCAAAAAATTTTTTCGAATAGTTCACACACTTTCTTCCTTACAAAATACTTTCCAATTAGTTTGTTACAGAAAATGTCAAACATATAACAGAAATAGTATTATGAACGCTCCTGCACCTATCATCTAAGTTCAACAATTACCAACTCATGAACAACTTTGTTTAATCCCTATCCCCATCCACTACCACCTCCAAATTATTGTGAAGCAAATCCAAGACTTTGTATCAATTCACCTGTAAATATTCCAGTTCCCATTTATTGTCAACAACTCCATGTCCTTGCCTTCCTTCCCACTCCCCACCCCCAAAAAGAAGTGCACAGAACAATGCAGGGAATTGGAACTGTTAAATCAGTTCCCTTCTGTAGCTGCCTCCTCTCTGTTGTGTCACCTTCTATAACATTCACCAACATCACTGTGAAATGTCCACCATTGTGTTCAGTCCCTTTAACTACATCCATTTCACTCAGAAATGTATTGTATTTTTCTCCACAATCCCATTCTCAAACACGTGAAAAAAATCATGCCAAAATTCTAGTCTCTTGATAAAGATTACTTCTGATTTGTTCCCCCACTCCAGATAAGCTAAAAAGAGCCAAAAGGAATGGAGGAGGAACAGAAAAAGAAAGAAATACAACACTTAAAATGGTAGATTTTGACTAATTAGGTGTGTGCAAATATTTTAAATCGGTTATTTTATTTTAAAAATGTATATTTGTTAACATCAGCCACCATTTTGTCATGAATCCTTTATACAGAGGCTGTTTATAAAATGAATTCTCTTAATTTAAGGGAGCCTTCAGGATTTTGGTATACAGTAGCTGCTTCTGGGCCTAAGAAATGGTTATGTAAAAACAGTTAAAGTCAAAAAAAAAAAAAAAAATTAAGGGAGGATGCTCTGTTTTTATAACTGCTCTAACCTTGTTTTATTTTGACATGAGATTTCTTGACCTCATCTCAGATACTAACCACCACCCCACACTTTCTCCTCTACACCCTTTACATATTGAATTCCGAAAGGTAGTAAAGGGAGGCACTTTAGAGTTCATCATGGGAAATGGCTCATCTTGAGTGTTTCAGTGCAATAATTGAGATTTCCTTCATTCCTTCCACTGGGACACTGCACTGCCCATTCCTTGCCCAGTGATTTCCCCAAGAATCCAGAGGAAGGCAGGGAAATAAACTCCATTCCACAGCCAACGGCTTCTCCTTCCCTGGGACGGCCTGCGATCTGCCTTAGCATCCCCTGTTCGCACTTGACCCTGGGGAGAGGGAACTTCTAAACACAAAGCTACTTGTTTACCCACCCACACACCCCCAAGATAAGGACAGTCCGACCCAAAGGAGGCAGGCGAGTGCCCCTCACCTCCAATCTTCCATTTCAAACTGTTTTCTCTGTGCGGTTAAAGCATTATGTACCCGGCGAATGCCTCTCCCTGAAATTGATAACACAACGCCTCCCCCTAACCCCTACTACTTTGCTCCTCTGGGCCAAACACCACAGCCCCCACAACAAATTCAGAATCTGAGCTGCCCCTCAAAAACTACAAGTACTCCCCAAACCACCACAGGTCAAAAGTCCTCACCTCCAGAGGGAAGACACCACTTCTCGCCCCTGCACCCCAAAATCAAAGACCCAGTGCCTGGCGCCCGCCGAGGTCGCCCCGGCGCCGGGAGGAGCGCCCAGTCCGCAGGCACCTCCACTGAGAGAAAGCAGCCCTAGAAACTCGCAGCTGGGGCGCTCGAATAACGCAGACCCCCCCAATCCAAGGGCCCCCACGCCACCATCGTAGCCCCTCACCGACACAAAGGGGCATCCATTCGGTTACTCGTTTCGAAGGATTAAGTCTCTTCCCAACACACACACACACACAGCTGGCCTCGGGGCGCCGGGAAGAGGGAGGCCAGCCCGCACCCCCTCTTCAGGCCGCGAGGAGACCCAGACCCGCGCCTTCTTCTCAGACTGGCGGGGAAACTCAGACCCATGCCCACTCCTCAGGTCGCCCGGGACCCAGACGGGCGCCTTCTTCTCAGACCCGCGGCCAGACTCAGACCTGCGCCCACTCCTCAGGCCGTGGGGGGACCTAGACTCGCGCTTTCTTCTCAGACCGGCGGGGAGTCTCAGACCCGAAGCCCCTCTACAGGCCAGCGGAGGGACCCAGACCTGCGCCCATTCCTCAGGCCGCAGGGGAACCTAGACCCGAACCTTCTTCACAGACCAGCGTGGGGGCTCAGAACCGCACCCCCTTCTCTGGTCGGCGAGGCGATCCAGATCTGCGGCTGCAACCCCTCCTCAGGCCGTTGGCGGGACCCACACCAGCTCTCCCTCGCCTCCGAAGGGCGAGTCTGGCCCACGTCTCCTGCTCAGGCCAAGGCCGACAAGGGGAACCGGACCTGCACCCCCTCCCCAGGCCAGAGAACTGGACCCGCGCGCCATCGTCTCCACCAGGCAGCCTGGCCCAGTCCGCGCGCCCTGCACCTTCCCCGGCAGCCCGGCGGGCCCAGCCCCTCACTCACCCAAAGCTCGGTGCCCCAGCTCATGGTGCAGGGGGCGGGAAGGGGCGCACCGCGCGGCGGGCGCGGGTCCTTCGGTCCCCTCCCCGATGATCCCTTCGTCTCCCGAGATCCTCGCGGCCGAGGAAAGCTCGGTGCCTGCGCGGTGGCCGCCTCCTCCGGCTCGCAGCTTCTCTCCTAGAGTCTCCGCGGCTGCTCCTCCTCCCCGTCGCTCCTCCGCAAAATGGCCCGAGGAAGCAGCAGTCGCCGCCGCAGCTCCCGCCAGCCCCACACTCGGGGAGGCAGGAGAGGGGAAGGGGGAGGGGAAAAAAGGGAGGGGACGGCCGGCGGAGGGGTGGGGAGGGCAGGGCGTTGCTCCGGGGGCGGGGCCGGCCTGACAGCTCGCGCACGCGCGCACGCCCCGCCCCCGCCCCCGCCCCTGGCCCCTGGCCCCGCCCTGCTTAGCCTTCCCTTCTGCGACCACCTGCAGGTTCACATCCCCCGGAGGTCTGGAAGGACGCGGGCGTAGGTAGAGGCCGGGACCTGCGGATCGGGACTACTCCCTTCGCCAGTTTTTAAATGAAAATGAAATTACTTATTAGCAACCACGCTCTCTGCTCTTAGGACAATTGCTCGTCTTTGAACCTAGCCGGCCCCTGTTATTACCAGCGCTCTGCAGAGGTCTGAGATTGTTCCACTGCGCCGAGCGCCGCTTTGGCTTTAAGGACAATACTTTTCCCTGACAAGCCATTCCCGCTTACCAGTGTGCTCGGGATCGCCTTTTCCCCCTGCACAGCGACCGGGCAGGTCCGAGGAGCCCTGCCGCCTTGCGCGGTGAGAGTGGGGCCTGATGGTGTCTGCGTGCTGTGCAGATAGGGACGTACAAGCAAAGACTAACCGAACAGCTCCCAGTGGCTAGGGAAGGGATCCAGGGGCGTATAACCAGTGATTTGTAATCTCTGAAAACAGTGATTACCAACTTCTTCGGTCAAGAAACTCTCAGGCATAAAATCACATTTAAGCTTAGTGGGTAAAAGCCAAGGCGCTGGGTCCACAGATAACTTCTTTTGTTCAAATCCAGCCTCCAGCACGTACTAGCTGAGTGGCCTTGGGCAATGAGTCCACATCTCCAGAAATTCAGAGCCCCCATCTACCAAGTGTGCGTAATAACGTATCCATCTCACTCACTGAGTGGTAGTGAGGATCAAGGAACTGAGCACCTGTTTCCTGGCCTATGGTTGGTTAACGGAGAACTAATTTTATCGGTAGATACTCCCTTTCTCTATATTCCAAAGGTGTACACAAATAGCATTGCCGGCAAGCTATGAAGAATTTTTGGAGTTCCAACTCCTTCCTTTGAATCACTCACTAATCCTCTCCTCCCCCCATTCTTCTTTTCTTTTCTGAGTAACTGTGGACTCTTAAACTTGGCCCCATTTTTAAATATTTCATAATGATGCATTTCTCCAACCCACCCCCAATCAGCTTATTCTCCATGAAAGGATGGAGCTGAAAAAACTCTTACAGATAAACCTCCATGTCTACTTCCTTTGCGGGACAGAGCTACAATAAATCTAAACTGTCGAAACTGTTCAGTCTGTCTTTCTTCAGTTACAAGTCTCCCCTTCCCTCGGCCATTTGTGTGTGTGTGTGTGTGTGTGTGTGTGTGTGAATGTTGCTTTTTCAATATTTCACTCTCACAATTACCAGGTCAGGGTACTCTTCACTCCAGAGATTGTTAGATATATAACAATCAGAACAGCTAGCCACTTACTTCCCCGAACAGATGAATAATCACGGTGAGTTAAGAGGGTTTGGAATTTCAAACAACACTGAACAATTTAATCTGCTAAAAATTGGAAATGTTAAGTGAAATGCAGGTTATCAAATAAAACGTTGCCTCGGTGATCACCTCAATTTACCTTCCTGCCAAGTCTTGAGTATTTTTTTTTCCATCAAATCAATGATCTAATCTTGACTGTGTTCTTGGAGACTGTCTTCTTAAAAACAGCGTGGCTCATTGTGAAAATATGCTAATCAGGAAGAAAAACAACCTGCTGTTTTAAAGAAGCGGAAGAAGAAGAGGAAGGTACACCAGAAGAAAAAGAGAGACCACATGAAGATGAAACCTTAAGATGAGTAAGCAGGAAATTGTTAGTTACAGGAACCAATTAAAGCCCACCAAAGAACTGTATGGAACTGGTACTATGCCACACTGCCAGTATCTTTGAAATCTTCTGTTCAGCTCTTTTACTTCATCATTTCTTCCTTTCACTTTCGCTACTCAGTGTTCAAAAGCAAGTTTCAGAGTCTCTTCTGACACCCATTTTGGTCTTTTCTTTCCTGTCCTTTTAATGATCTCTTGCTTTCTTCATGTATGATGTCCTTGATGTCATTCCACAACTCTTCTGGTCTTCGGTCATTAGTGTGCAACGTGTCAAATCTATTTTTGAAATGGTCTCTAAATTCAGGTAGGATATACTCAAGGTCATACTTTGGTTCTTGTGGACTTGTTCTAATTTTCTTCAGTTTCAACTTGAACTTGCATATGTGCAATTAATTGATAGTCTGTTCAACAGTCGGACCCTGGCCTTGTTCTGATGATATTGAGTTTTCCATCACGTCTTTCCACAGATGTAGTCGATTTGATTCCTATGTATTCCATCTGGTGAGGTCGTGTATAGGCATCATTTATGTTGTTGAAAAAAGGCATTTGCAATAAAGAAGTCATTGGTCTTGCAAAATTCTATCACGCCATCTCTGGCATTGCCTCTATCACCAAGGCCATGTTTTCCAACTACCAATCCTTCTTTGTTTCCAATTTTTGCATTCCAATCACCAGTAATTATCAATGCATTCTGATTGCATGTTTGATCAATTTCAGACTGCATAAGTTAGTAAAAATCTTCAATTTCTTCATCTTTGGCCTTAGTGGTTGGTGCGTGAATTTGAATAACAGTCATATTAACTGCTCTTCCTTGTAGGTGTATGCAGATTATCCTATCACTGACAGTGTTGTACTTCAGGATAGATCTTGAAATGTTCTTTTTGATGATGAATGCAATGCCATTCCTCTTCAAGTTATCATTCCCGGCATAGTAAATCATATGATTGTCTGATTCAAAAGGGCCAATACCAGTCCATTTCAGCTCACTAATGCCTAGGATGTTGATGTTTATGTGTTCCGTTTCATTTTTGACAATTTCCAATTTTCCTTGATTCATACTTCATACACTCCACATTCCAATTATAAGACATTTTAAAGGAGGTAGGGTTTTTGTTTTTTTAAATTGTCTCCATTTTACAAATAGGAAACTAAGGCTGAGAGAGGTTAGGTCTCTTAGGACGTACAGCCAGTGAGCAGTAGCATCAGGATTCCAACCCCCCCTGTTTGATGCTGTCATCTCATTTGGTTTCATTTTTTTATTGTGCTTTAGGTGAAAGTTTACAGCTCAAGTTAATTTCTCATACAAAAACTTATACACATACTGTTATGTGACCCCAGTTGCAATCCCTATAATGTGACAGCACACTCCCCCTTTCCACTCCATTCAACCAGCTCCTATCCTTTTCTACCTTCTCATCCCACCTCCAGACAGGAGCTGACCATTTAGTCTTGTGTATCTACTTGAACTAAGAAGCACACTCTTCACGAGTATTATTTTATGTTTTACAGTCCAGTCTAATCTTTGTCTGAAGAGTTGGCTTCGGGAATGGTTCTAGTTCTGGGTTAAAAGAGAGTCCAGGGGCCATGTCTTCTGGGGTTCCTCTAGTCCCAGTCAGACAACTAAGTCTGGTCTTTTTATGTGAAATTGAGTTCTGCACCACACTTTTCTCCTGCTCTGCCAGGGACTCTCTGTTGTGTTCCCTGTCAGAGCAGTCACTGATGGTAGCTGGGCACCATCTAGTTCTTCTGGTCTCAGGCTGATGGAGTCTCTTGGGCTAATATTTTCCTTGTGTCTTTGGTGTTCTTAATTCTAAAGGAGGTAGGGTTTTATAATAGTTACATTATGATCCCAGCTCTCCACCACTTATTAGTTGTGCGACCTTAGGCAAGTTACTTAATCTCTTTGAGCTTCAGCTTCCTTATTCATAAAACAGGGACCTCGTATGTTAATGCTAACCTCATAGGTTGTTATGAGGCTGAAACAAGGGAGCTAGTGGTGAGCATGGGTTTTGGAGTTAGCCAGATTAAGACAGCTCTGCACAGACAGCTAGAGAGCTTTGGCTGAATTACTTTCCATCTCTAAGCCTGTTTCCTCTATAAAATGAAAATAATACTTACTTCAAAGGATATAGTAAGCTCAAAAGTTAAGAATACATGTAAAATGCTCAGCACACAATAAGGGTAAAAGTTTTGGTTCCCTTCCTTTCCTCCTTTGTTCCAGAGGATTTTTACTTATTGTATCAAGGAAAGCAATCCTTGAAGCACTGTCTGATGCAGCAAGATAGCTTGCCTGAACTACAGTTGATTGGTTGTCTATTGGTGAAGTACTACTCATAATGAAATTCTTCAGATTTTTTTCTTTAAAATAGCTTCCATCGGTTTTTAGCTTAAAATTTCCCATTTGTTTAGCATTCAAAATATTTACTAAGAACCTGAGGAAGCAATCAAGTGGAAAAAGTTGGAGTGGGATAAAACTAGGAATTCTATGGTGAGTAGAATCTTGAAACTGCAACCAATTTTTGCACCTGATAGTCTGGTGATATTGTAGATTGAACTCCCCTGAAGCTCTATAAAGATGTGCATAAAAACAAGAAAAATCACTGTCCTGTGGATTAGCAAGTTATATACAGTCCCACCACATTGAGGAGAAGTGAATTTGAAGTTCATCTCCAACTCACAAAATTCAAGGTATGTCAGGGTCATCATACTGACATTATATCTGTCAGGACCAGCCTTTTCCATGAAGATTGCTCTCTTTAAGAAGATGTCCCCTGTGGTGCAGTGAATTACTTAATATGGCCCTTCTAGCCATAGTCTTTGTAACTCCCACCAAATGACTGGGTGAGATTATGCAAACGAGGTGTCTGTGGCCCACCAAGGGGATTGAATAGCTTGCTAGTAACGTAAATAAGGTACATGGCACCCTTGTGGGGGGTGATGCCATGCAAATAAGGTATATTCAAATAAGGTGTAAGAATGGCATGGTGGCAGCATCAGACATCCTCTAACTTCACTAGGGGGAAGGAGAATCAAGATCAACAGCCCAAGGCTGATTCCTATGAGGCAGATGTCAGACATGCCTCCTTTTTCTTCCATTTTTACCAATTCTGACTCCAACCATCCCTCCCATGGCAC